TTTTGGTTTTACTTCTACATACAACTAATGTTATTTATAGTAGACATCGAGCCAGGAGGTTTTCATCAATTTTTTCGACTAATGGACTGCAAGTTATTTGTATTAGACGATTGGCAATGTCGTTTTCCACCTCATTCATACAGTGACAATATAACATTCCGAAGGCAAGTTGAAATGAAATGCTCTATTTTATTTGTCTAGCATTTCAACGAAATATATGATCGCCTTTTTGTGGCAGAGTAGTAGATAAGTTCAAATTATCTAATATTTGTAACAATCGATCTTGGATATTGAACAAGGTAAGAAACCAGTTAATTTTCTCATATTGATAAAAGCAAAGGTGAGACATTCAATACAATCAATATTTTGCAACATCTGCAAGTTTTAGATCGGAGTATCATGAATTCCTCATGGTATCAAACTATTGAAAAGATTTAATTTATATATTATGCCTGGCAATTGTTGCTCTATATCATAGAAAACGGAAAATTGATTGTCATTGATATTCTATCTTTAATATTTTACATTAGCATTGAATATCTCCCAGCGATTTTTCATATGCGACTCATTTATTATGAAAAATCGAGAAAAGCGCAAGAAAAACTTGTTATTTCATCAAATCTGAGTTGAAAAACTCACTAGAAAAGTACTGTAAAGTCTCAACTGTACATAATATTTCTAACGATTCTCTTATCGACCGAGTACTGGTTTCTAAAGTAAAGAATCGTGTTGTAATAAAATATCAAACACAAAGTTTGGCATAGTCAATTACCAATGTAATTAGGAGTGTGTTTTTCTCTAACGACTCGATCTTAAGAATTGAGACAGTGTCAAAGCATAAGATTGATAACTAGAGCTCATCGAAGCGATGTCAAATCTGTCAATCGAATCCTAGCGGGTGATATTTTTATGAACTCTTAAATAAAATCTGTGCACGTACCAGAAAATATCTTTTTTCGATTGTACTTCCGATACGAGCATATTGATTATGATCTTGCTGATAAAATATTTAATAGTTCCATCTGTAATACCTATTTTATATGTTCATCATTAATCGAAAAATAAATGTATAAAGAAAGTGTTAAAATTCTTGGAAGAAACCTAAATTGTGAAGCTACAAAAAAAAACAATAAATTGAATGAATATATCTCATTTAACTTTCGATAGAAACATGATAGTGAATTTGTTTTCATTTTTAGAAAGAGAAAATCAAGATATATTTTATAATTTATCATATATTTTTCTCAGGGTCGTTTCATCAACTATTTAAAAATAATTCGAAAATTAGTTTTTATCGGAAAAGAAAAATTATAACTATAGCTGTTTTTTTTATATAAACTATGAAATACGCGGATATACATTTCCGCATAGAGTTCCTATCATCTCTGAACGATTACAATTGAACATATGAGTCTTACGTAACTTTGTACATTTTCAATGAATGGCTTGAAAACGTACCTAATCATTGAAAATTCACTATATAAAACACTTCAACTAGATTTTATTTTGTATCTCTTCATCGACGGATAAAGAAATCTGGAGTTCAAAACTTACAGTCGGCTTTTCTTTATACTTCTTCATTAAACAATTGAACTTGAATTACATAGGAGTATTTTTCCTTGATAAGTCTCCATAAAAGTTCTTTATCAGTAAAATATTTCATGATAAATATTATAATTATATTATAAAGATGAAAATATGATTATCTTGGTGTTTATGATCATCACGAATTTCGTTTTTGAAGATGATTTTTTTAAAATTATTTTTCATCGAGTAGACTACATCAAACTCTTGTGAAGCAATAATTTGACGAATAATATCAACTTGATTATCATCAACTTTTGTTACGTTTTGTAGAGACTTCGATCAACGCCAATATTACATATAACATCGAGACCGTAAGCAGGAATCCTATTTACGATTTTGACGGTCTTAAAAATTGCGATCTAAGTACAGAGTTGAGCCGCTTTGCCCCTCTATAGTAGCTAAAAATATATACCTGGAATCATTGAACGAAGAAAAACTTTAATTAATCCTAATCCTCGACAGCAGCGCATACCAGCCCAGTTCGTGACAAATTTCAGTGCACATGACTGAGTCTGGCACAAGATAATAAGAATACTTGATTGCATCATCGTTTAGTTAAATTTTCAATAGGTATTTCGTGATAAATCAGCTGATCTGATGATACTTCGAGTTTTTATTTTCACTTTGGTATTTGTTTCAACACCAACAAATATAGCGAATGGTGAAATAATGTGATGTTAACGTTGATTTGTCAAATAATTTTTGTTTTCACCTTCGTTTTTATAAGATCATTTTAAATCATAGTCATTCATTTGAAGAGCAATCATAATTTATGTCGCTGCTAAACGAGTAAGAATAAGTGATGATAAAAATTTCAGTAAGTGTACCATGTTGATGTTGGAAGAGATCATTCTATAAATCACAGATATGTATGAACATCAATGACTTAGTTATAGAAAATATGAAAATAATTTACTGTGCGCGGAAGATATTTTCACAGAATCTGACAGTTTTCCATTTATATTATTTCATAAGATTACATCAGAATTGTGTCGCTCTAGTCAGCATTATTTTTTGTGATATTCTATAAGTCGCATGTTCTTCAAGTTAGCACGAAAGAATCAACATATTCTATTCCATCTAAGTCAGCCTGAATAAATAACAAAAAATAAATAAATAAAACAAGAAATAACCCAAATCTAAAACAATTTCATTTTCCTACTTTCATATGATTTATTTACGTGTGAACTTCATTAGCAAGTTTTTCATTGTATTCAACAGCGTTGTTTATCTTTTTTAAATTGATTAAATGCTTATTAAGCATAATAAAATTAGCAGTTAGATTAGGAAATTTAGTACGGTCAACACTAGAAGATATAAAACTGTAGAGGAGCAAGGGCTAAAGTAGTTACGAAAACGAATTGTATACACTGACAATTATAGATTAGTTCGATTTCTTGTACATAACGAATTTCAACTTTACATTTTGCTTGTGGATGAAGAGAAGCTCTCAAAACAAAAGAGATTAACACTTATCAGTTCTACGAGTAAAAAATTAGCGATGAAATGAAAATTGTAAATATAAAGATTTGCTTCGATTGAATTCAATGTGTCGTTACTATTCACAACGGCTTAAACACAACTAACAAATGAATATTTTATTTCACTAACCGTAAGACAAGCTTGAGTGAAGAGAATATTTTTCGAAGATAAAAATAACAAACTTGAATCAATGGGAGTAGAACGAGAACATAAGACAACGTCGACTGAATGAGTGGTGGAGAAAAGAAAGAAAAAAAACATAGATGCCCCCGGTGAGGCTCGAACTCACGACATCCGCATTGCTCCGATACTGTGTATAAGTACGGCGCTCTAATCCAACTGAGCTACGGGGGCTATACACCGGAGTGCAATAGCATATATACATCAATAATATGAATATAGTAGAAACTCATCAACAAAATTTCATCAATTAAATTAGTTAATTTTCATATTCATCACTAATTTTTATTTCTATTACATGAAAATACATATTTTCCTATGATTTCATGAACATAATTGAAATAATATAACATAAAATGTAATATACTTGATCGAATCCGGTTTATGGCGGTTTATCAGACAAAAAAAAAGACAGCAAATAAAATTTTTAATGGTGCATATTTTGTATTATTTCTTATGTGAAATATACAAAAATTCTATTATTTCAAAGAAAGAACAATTGCACTTTACATGAGTTTCTTGGTTAAAATATTAGTGACGATCTTTGATAGATTAATTTCCAACAGTAAATCATATTATAACATATATAGATGATAATAAAAGTCAGAAATTTTTTAAAAACAATGCCGCTTCTAACAAGCATATTTTATCAAAGTTCAATCAAATCTACTTTATTTAGTCAGATAGAGATTAAGCAATTCACATATATCAACTACTGAGTATCTAAACAAAACATGTCAATATGAAAACCATTCGTATGAGTATGAAATCAATATGTGAATTCGTTTGATAGCTTGGTAAATTCATGATTCAATCTATGCTGAAAAAGAAAAAGAAACTTATTCTATTAGAATAGCTACCAATAGGTTTATCTTAGTTCAACAATTATCAGAGACTTCGTAAAATTGTTTTCTAATATCCTTCTATTAGATTAAAACATAAACTCAAATAGTTATATATATATATATGTCAATATACAGTTATTTTGTGTTAATCCGATTCACTGAAGTGTTAAAGAAAATTGATTATCGACTGATTTATCATAGGTTTTTTTTTGTTATATAGTTTCTCAATCACTTGAAGATTAGATATTAGTGTTGATTTGGTATAAACTGAAAGAAACGCATGAGATACAGAGCTAAACATAATCGATAGCTAGATATTTAAAAACAAAACCAGTCTGGTAAAATCGACTGACTTGTTAGGGAAATGATAATTGGTTAGAAGAAAAAAGTTGCAAAAACCATTCAATTATTTTCTATTTCTGTTTAGATTTGTATAAAATTTTATGAAGCGTATTAAATGAAAAACTTTTATGTACGTATTTTTCGTATAGGATCAAGAGATGATGCTACTCTGGCTTGAAATTCGATGTGTTTCTTTGAAACAACGACTCAAACATAAATAGACATTTTCGCAAAATAGATATAATGAGAGATCAATTTGAGGGAAAGATTTTGATTAATTAATTTGTCAAAGTACTAATTAAAATATTTGATATTATTCAACAATTGGGCAAAATTAAGTGTCAATATTTTATTGGCTTTTAGAGATGAATTCTAGCTGAATGTAATTAACACAATAAGAATGAATTGTTGGATTAATAGGATTAATTAAAAATGAAATCGAATGACATATCTAGATAAACTACATTAGAAAAATTGCTTTTATATATTTTTATTTTATTTTTTTGAGTTAATAAAAAACACAATAAAATTGTGGAGAGATTCAATAAAGCAATAATACGATTTTTAAATTATAATGCATACAGACGAACGTTTTTTTGTTGCACCTTGTTCAACATGGTGATGATGATGATGATGATGAGAAACTGATGTTTGATTTTGATTACTTATTTCAGATTTTGAAATACGACGAACTTCGCCATTGAATATCAGAGTTTTTATTTGATTAGTATTCATATCATTTCTTAATTGATCAACGTCATGTCTTAACTCAATAATTTGGCCACGCACTGTATCTATTGCACCTTTATTACAATGTATAGTTTTGATAAGTTCAGGATCGATCAATGGAATTGTTGCTTGTTGTTCACGATCACCAATTGACTTCGAAGATATTTCACTATTATTCGATTTATTAGCTAGTTTATTTACTGATGTAGAATCGAGATCTTTTGTTTGTAAATTAGCTTTTGATGCTTCAAATAATTTATATAATGTTTCCTAAAAGAAAAGATTATTATTTTTCAAGATCGATTTTCATTAGAATTAATCTATTTTTTTTGTTAAAATGGGGAAAATAAAAATAGTACAACAAACAAAACACACATGGGTAATTGGATTAGAAATCGGTTAGAAAACATGATTAAAATATAATTTTTATAATTAATTTATTCATACTTGACTTATATATACTCAATTTTAATTGCTACCGATGCCGGTACTTATCTAGAAAAATGTCCATGTTTAGTAAAAAAGAGTCACAGCAAAAGATTTTTGTTTTGTTAAAGCAATGTCACATTATATACATGTAGACAATACAACATTATTGGGATCATGGGTTATGACTAAAATACTTTGTACCTGAGACACACTTTCTGACCATAATTTTTCTAGAATATAAAAAAAGTTATTTTATCATCGCATGGAAATCTTTTAATTACAAGAAAAACATCAGTAGAATTCTATTCAGCATTTTTCTGGACTTAATGGATATGGGTAGAAGTAATTTACTCAAGTCGAAGTACTAGATTTGAATAATGAGATATCGTTTAGAGTATAGATTTAGCAAATTTCTGAAATTAAATTGTTTCTTTTTTATGACTAAGTTTAATCTCTAGCAGCTCACGAATCATTTGTACCTGTTTGATGTGATTTCTACTGTATTAGTTCAGTACGGTTTGAACTAGCACTAATTATATTAACATATATATACATATACATATGCGTAGATTTTTTTGTACAAAAAAAGGAATTTCTACAAAATCAAGTTTAATGAGCATGCCGATCCTTGATTAAATTTATCATTATAATGATCAGACGGTTCATAACATTACAATAGTCTCATATCTGCAAATATAACATGAGTCATAAGAAAAATAACTAATTTAATAGAAAAAAAAAACAGGATATATTTGTCTATACTGCAAATTCTTGATAACTGGCAATCACTAGCGAGAAATTCTCAAGACTAAATTATTGATCAATCAATAATCAACAGTTAAATCAATCACTATCTGCAAGTAACATTGCTATTTTAGTCTGTTTTTTTTTAAAACGACTCGAATTCGATAGTATTCATATCGATTAATACGAATGACATCTCACTTGATCTTATGCACAAATGAGAATTATTATTGAACTCAATAGATACTTCATATTGATTAATTATTTGTCAAAGTTGAAGTTACAAAACACGCCCATTCTAAAGCATCTTATGTTAAGTTTTCATTATTCGAGAAAAAAATACTTGTCAATAGAATTCATGCAATCGAATGATGAATCAATGCAGGATTACTAGCATTCAACAGAAGAGGTGATCCATCCAAAATATTTATATTTGCCAATGTTTATCATCAATTAGTGTATGCTCATAATGAACGATAATAATTGTAATATTATTACACTGAAAACGATAGACGAGTGAATGACAACCATCCTACAGTTGACATCAATGTCGCATATATTTATATCATCGTTCATAAGAAATGAGTGGCGGCAGTCAAGCATCTTTCCTAATTTGGTACAGAAGTGTCAGTCACAATATTGAATAGAGTAGTTTCTTTCTGTATACTTTAACACTTTTTGGATTAAGTTTCACGTTAACTTACGAAGTTTCTCATGTTCTTGTTGTAATTTTTCCCAATTTTCTCGATTTCGTTTACATCCTTCATTAAGTGGACTTAAACCAGGTTCAGCATCCGCTAACATCTAATAAATATTTCGATGATAAATATTTCAAATTTGTTTTTTCAAAGCAAAAACTATACTCGATAAACTGGAAGGCATATTGAGTCAATAAAGCCAACTAAAAAGAAAAACGATTTCTAAAATGTAAATCATAATATTAATAAAAACAAACTTTGCATTTTAGGTAATTCATCCTTTTTGTCTCGATCCATCATTGGCTAGAATAGAAAAAACAACATTCAATAAAGAAGAGAATCTGAACAGAGAAAAACAAACAAACATACGATGGGTTCAACATGCAATTGATTTCGTTCAATATCACCTTGTTGAAAAAATTCACTGGCAACAAGCTTAGCAATAACTTGTTGCATCTCCCATGGTTTACAGATTGCTGCTACATCGCATGCAGTCATCATCATACCTCTAAACCAGTACAATCAAATAGTTCATAGAGTTTTCTTATTGCTCTTATTTTCTTCTACCGTAGTAAATCTTTTCTTGTGGGATCAGTCCAACGTTCAACAGGATTTTCAACTAATTTTTGAAATTCACCTCGTTTACTAGAATAAACATTAAAAAGTTAATAATAAAAAATCATAAAAAATATTCTTCTTTTTATTTACCGAAAATAAAGAGCTAAATCAGTTGATAAAATTGCTGATTCAATATAATGAACAACAAGCTTATAATCATCAGGTGTTAGTGCTTGTAAAATATTATTTCCTTCTGTTTGTAATATCATGATGCATTGATCGAAATGATGATGTTCAAGTGTCGATGTTGAATATAATTTTGCAAGTGGTGCATCAGCTTTAGCTTGAAATGCGTTATTCGTTCCACGATGATCAAGATCATGACTTAAGCATGCAATTAACAATCCAATGCGTTCCAAATCATTCATGTGAGGATTCATACCGCCGGTCTAGATAATAATAATGATAATAGAAATGATTATAACGCTGAAGTCGGGACAACATCTTTCCGAGAAAGTAACTCATTGTCTTTCAAACAAGTTCATCAATTAGTATGAATAACCCAGTGAACTTCAATGCGAACTTAAATATTTTTCTCATTCATTTGAATATGCTTCTTTTCAATTATAAACTTAATAATAAATCTAACAATAGAAATCTTCACATCCGATAGGAATAAAAGCTTTTTTGCAAATAGAAATAAAACATCAAAGATACTCAAGAGACTCTTTTTCTATCCTGCAGTATAATTCAGAGTAAACAATTTCTATTAAAGTATCAAAGAGAACAAAAAATAGTTTTATCCTACGGTTAACATTGAAAACATTGTTTGAGCAACATTAAATGCATGTCTCCAATTGTGATATATTACAGGTCGATAATTTTTCTTCACACTTAACATCCATCGACACATAACATCTTGAGGAATACGATAAGTTTTTAATAAATCTAATTCGACAAACATTCGGATACTTGTTAAAATTGTTTCGTCATCAGTTAAAATCATATCATTAAAGTCCCACGAATATAAGCGAAGTTGATTAGCTTCAGGAATTGAAATATGTATCATACGTTGAACATCTTCTTCTGATGCCACTGCATGATATGATAATACTTCGAAAGCAACATTTTGCTTAGCTGTTAAACGTACAACATGTTCATATTGTCGTGTATTATGTATACCCAAACCACAAAATACTGAAAAAGCCTAAATAGGAAAAGTGGAATTTTAAAATTCCATCAGATATCAATCCAATTCAAAATGGAAAGAAAAGAAGATTTAAACTGATTATTTTTTGTTAATTTACATCTCTCTTATCATTTTCTCTCCATTTATTACTATATATGCGTCATAAAATTGAATAGTTCTCTATCGAAAAGTTAATCTTTATTTATACTTGGATCATCAAAATCATTGATAACATATACGACAAAAGAAACTATTTATAATATCATCAATAAAATTATATGATACATCGTGGTTATTGTCAAACATTAAAAAAAACTTACTTCAATTATAGCAACATCATCCTCAGTAAAAAATCGCCCGTGCAATTTATTCATAACTTGTGAAACACCAATGACATGACCATCACCATCCATAATTGGTACACATAATAGATTTTTTAATTCAAATGTATCATTATCATTTGATATTAACTAAAAAACAAAACGAAAATTTATATTAAACATTTGTTTTGCATCGATTATTGATTTACTAAATGTGATAAAGTTTGATCATTTGATATTTCATTGATATTGACTGTTTGCATAGTTGTTGCAACATGATGAGCAATTTTTGCATATCGAGAATTTTCAAGGAAATCATTTCTAAAAAGAAAAAAACAACAAAAAAAACAAGCATTTCTATTAATAAAAAGATAGTTTATCTCTACGTACGTTGTTCCTTTAAATTCTTCGCCATACAACATATCAAAGCCTTTGGAAAAATGAACATCCTAAATTAGAAAGCCAAGTTTTCATGAGATGAATTTTTTGATCTCTTCCAAATATAAATACTTCAGACTTAGTTGATGATAAAATTGATTGATCCACTATATAAATACAACATCGAGCACATTGCATAAGACCTTGAGATTCAGTAGTGATTTTATTTACTAAACGTTCAAGATCATTTTGTTCACGAAATAAATTTCGAGCTAAGTTCAGAAGAAGCTAAATTTAAAAATAAGAAAAACAAATTAGTAATAATAATCGATTAGTTGTAGCATTTTTTATTCTATTTTAAAAAAACAGTAAGTTCTGACCTTCAATCTATTTACAAGTAAGAGATTCTCTGTAGAAGATTTGGTTTCATTTTTTGATGACATATTCTTTGACTTTACAAACTCATCATCATAAATTTTGTCGTTGATCGATTGTAAAGAAGAAGAAGAAGATGATGATGATGATGATGATTGAGCGATTGTTCGATGTGCTACTTCTGGTCGACCTAATGACATTAGACGATGTTTTTGTCTTTCGTCTTTGAGGAGTTTTTGATTTAACAAAAATCTCTCATTGTACCATGAAAATTTAATACATCAGATTCTAACTTGATTAACTTCTACGCGTATGAAGAAGGCAGAGAATCAAAAATCAGGGATGAGCGAAAAAAGAAACAAAAAAAATCGCACTACTTATACATTTACATAGAACAAAAGTACTCAAATCGCTTTCTTTTTTTTCTTATTCTTTTCTTTTTTATTCTCAGTTCTTTTATGTTGTCAAAACGACGTTAAACTTATGAAAGTGTGAACGAATGATATTCGTATTTGACCTTACTTGATTTTTTTTATATTCTTGAATTGATAATTCGAATAATTGAGCATTTGATAATCCAAGCCCACAAAATGTTAAATAATTACGAAAAACCTTAGAATAATCAAGAGATGATAAAGATGGGAAAAAAAATTTCAATAAATAAAAGTAAACACTTACATTTATATCTTTAGCAGTAAACTCATGTGTACCATTTTTTTTATTAATGATTTGCGCAACCCCGATAACAATATTATCACGATTTAAAAGAGGCATACAACATATTGAATGTGTTCTATAACCAGTTTTGTTATCAACTTCTTTATTAAATCTTGGATCCTTTGAAAAGAAGTAGAACAAGAAGAATAGAAAGAAAAGAAAATTAGAGAAGGAAAGAAAAATGATTCTAAAAATGCCATGGTAGATTCACTAATAGAGAACATAACTACACGTTATCGTTTAAATGTATTGTGTACCGTTTTGAAATCTAACTGAAAAATTTATATTTGAAAAGAATACATCAAAATCAGAAGTGAAATCAAATATTATATTTCAATATATTCAAACAATATCAATATGGTAAAAGATAAATATTATCGAAATGCCGAACGATATATGATCGAATATAAAATGCGAACACCTTATCCTATACCTACAGAAATCAATCAATCAAACTACATTAAGCAACATACTCGTTCTACGCGACCACATCCTGCCCATGAACGAAGCCATGCAAAACATAATTCAGGAGAAGGATTTTATAGTTCTGAAGGACATATTGATAAAAGTCAACGAACGAAAAAACCTGTTCAACAACAGAATCAAAGTCAAACAAATAATCAGGGAACAGCACCAACATCGCTAGCAACAGCAAACAGAAGTTCCTGTTGTACGATTTTATAATTTTTAATTGTTAATAAAATGATTAATATCAAAATAAACAATGGATGGCGTCGGTTTTTTCGAGTAAGACAAAAGAACAAATGGAAAAGAAATTATTTTTTTATCGATTATAACCTTGAACGACCATTTAATATTTTTTTTTTCTCAATTCAAGTATCTATAACTTTTTTTACTACTCTTGAAAAAGATTTTTTCCTTCTTCTATTTTTGTAAATAAATACAAAATTATTTGAGAACATAAATCTTGTCTCCAAAATTATAGAAATTCATTCGTATTAGTGATACATTTTCTTTTTTCTTTTTTGGCATTGCTATGTCAAGATGGCATGTTTATCTACATTATCGATTTTCAAGAACAAAAACTAAGAGCACAAATGAATAAGTTAATGGTTTCAAACTAAGCATAACAAAAAAAGAAAAATAATGCTATGAGTAATTGCACATTGTGTCAATAATCGTATATGGAATCCTTTAAAAAAATATAATTATTCTTGGGAGTATAATTTTTTTTCAAATTCATATCTGAGATGTGTTCATACTAAATTCGCATAGTATACGCACAGTTTTCCATTGAATATGTGTAACGTACGAAATTTTTAACAAACAAACACATGACCGTCTAAGAAGAGCAAATTTTTCGAAAGAAAAGTCTAATGTATTGAAATGTTTTTTAGGTTAAAACAGCCATACCCTAGGTGATCATTGTTGCTATCGGAAATGACATTCTAAGTGGCCTGAAGTCAGAATAAAAACGTCATATTAATGCATTAGATTTCAATATATTCTATATAGCGCCACACAAGTTGTTTTTATATCACTACTAAATGCTTCTATTTTCTATCAGCATTTGTTTTTTCTTGAAAGAAATAATGAAGAAAAAAAGATTTAATAACACAAGATTCCATTGTTCATATGGTTATGCTACAAGAGAGAACTTTCTATTTTGTGTTGATATTTTTCTACTAGATTTTCGATTAAAGACTAACATTAAAGTACATAGAATACCTACATGTAGAAAGCTAAGTTTTTTTTTAAATATTTGTACATCATTCTATGAAGTTCATAGTAATACAAGAGCTTTTTTGGTATGAAAGCATTTTATGATGGTAAATACTAGAAGTTCTACTTAAATTGTAAATGTTTTATAAACTGTAGAAAAAGAAATTTAGAAGACCTATTGAACAATAATTAATTCGATTCGCACAACGAGAAATTTTGAACCATAATTTAGAGTTTCATTAAGTAATTTTTTTGGTAGTTAGTAGCTCTCAAATTTCTCACCAATAAAGAAACATACTATTACACATTTCATGTAAATTTACAATTAATTAGCATTCATTGTTTTGAAAAATAATCATATTTCTAGTTGGAACAACTATCAAAAAGGATAAGAGCATTCTAGAGATAACAATGTCAATAAAACTCTATCCTCGTTCTTTCTGGGAAAATAGTAATATACATGTATATTCCTAATGCTAAAATGAACAAAAGCATTAATTTATCATCATATATGACCGAAAAGATAGTACTATAATAGTGTAGATAAAAATATCTTTCTATTGATTTTGTGCGCTGGTTATTGATTGAGAAAATTTTAAAAAAAATATTGATACATAACGAATTTTTGTATGAGCCACTCTTATGCTTTCTTGAAAAATAATCTCAACTAATTATTGAAATATAAGAGTAAAACACCCTCGATCTATATCGTAGACCTTGTGAAACACTTGAGAAATATTCAACCATACCCCCTCCCTTCGTAATTCAGTATTATAGACGATAAGTGAATAATTTCTCATTATAATACATTAACTATTTTCTTGTTACATTTGTGGAAGATTAGGTGAAATGATAGTGACGAAAAATATCTATAAATGCATTGAATAAAGCAATCTCCTTGGGATTAGCAAGCTTAGCTACATCAAGTTATACCCTTTAATGTCGCAGAGATTGTATTAATAGGTTTTTAAAGTAATTAGATTTCTCAATCATCATATTAATTGGAAATGAGACATAAATCGAATATCATTATGGGAACTTTAATCTTTTTCTACTTGAATATTCTATGCAATTTAGAGGGGGGGGGGGAAGGCGATAGAATTAAAATTGAAAGATTTTGATTACCCCCCCCCCCCCCCCCCCCCCCCCCCCCCCCCCCCCCCCCCCGACGTCGATAGGATTAAAATTGAAAGATTATGATTACCTCATAAGCGTCAGGAATATTAATAAATTCTTTTGTTGAAGCAACATGTCCAGCAATACCTTTTCCAAATGGAATAATAATTTGTTGATCTTCTTTATGAAGTGATTGTTCCAGTGTTGAACCAGCTGTTACATCAAATAATTTTGAAACAAGAAATCGAGCATTTTTTGAGCCACATGCTAAAAATAAACTTCCACGATCAGAATTTGTTAGTATTGAAACATTTGTTAAAATCTTATGGCAAACAACATCAACATTCAATTCATTTGATATGTCACGTATCAATTCAAAAAAAAGTTCATTTTCGTTTAAATGCATGTAATCAACAATTTGAGAATTTGTCGACGAGATTGGACGATTTGAAACATGTCCTTGAATTATATTATTAAACATTTCATGTGTAATTGATGCACGTGGTTTTGTTAAAAATTCATTTTGTTCTTTTAAACGAATACAATCGTTTAATAAATCATTGGTAGCATTATCTTTAAACCATCGTTTAACAAAATTTGGTTTACGTGCTAAATATCGTGTAACCATTTCTTCGGTTAACATTTGTCCACTATTTTCCGATGGATCATTTGGTAGTTTATACATTTTTCGTTGAGACTAAAAAACAAAAAAACAAGCTAAATAAAGAATAAAAATGATTTAGAACGCATTCAATATAAATAGACGATGATGAATAATGAATGATTGTAACATATGAAGGAGCTTGTTTACTCTGAGATGACGACTCATAATAGATGGGAGAAATCTAAGAAAATGGAAAAAATATTGATTTGTACTAAGAGAATATAATGAAGCTATTTTCATGATCCTAGAGATTTATTTAAAATTGCACTAGTGTAAAGAAGAAAAAGAAGAAGAAGAAGAAGAAGAAGAAGAAGAAGAAAAAGAAAAAGGATAAGAAACAAGACAGAAAGAGAAGTGCGGAAGACATGACATCAACATTTCCTGTTGCTCTCATGCCGTTTTTTATATGGAATTGTATAGGTAGAAGCAATTCTGCCATCCCATTTTCTATGTGAAACAATATAGAAAATATTCTTATTTTAATAGGAGCTAAGTGGAAGAAAAAAAATCAAACAAAATTCCGTTGAGAACACGTAAATGGAAGCTAACTTTTAGTCTTATTGTAGAAAGTCATATTAATTAGTTTATTGTTTTTTCTGCCTAATATAATGAACAGGAAAATATCTATCGAAATGTTAAATACGATACTTACATTATTTTCTTGTGGCCTAGTTTGCTTCATTTTCTTTCGTATGTCAACAAAAATAGAAATACAAAAAAGAAACTATTGGTATGGTACTTTTATTTTCTCTGATACAATTCACTGTCGTTGTCTTTTTCTATGTTCATGCACCTGTTAATGGAACAAGACAAAACAAAGTAATTCAATTTTACAAGGACATCGTACTAGTCAATTATTACCCTGCTAATAAATTTGAAGATTCATTGAATCGAAGACGACTGCTACATGAAAAAAATATGAAAAATAATTCATGATAATAATTTCAAATAGGATCATAATAACATGAAGACTGTAATCAATATTAAAATTACATTGGCGATAATGAAAACGACTAGAAACCTATCCTCTTATATATTATCATAATACACACCGTGACAGAGAAGCTCCACAGGCCATCACAGACTATGCTGGATCGATCTCAGAAAAGGAGTTTTATCGTGTTTCACATTTTAATCCTACAGGAATTGCACTAACAGTTTTTTTTCTACCGATCGATTTTCTTGCAGCAAATTTCACACCACGCATTATATATAAGTAAACTAGGCAAAAAATCATATGTGAGTTCCACATTTTAGCTCCGAAGTGGCTACGCTAACAAGCTTTTTGTTTTTATTTTATGATCACCTTTCCGAGTTTCATATCCATTGTAGATACACTTTTTAATGTGCGCACGACGTCTTGCGACGATGAGACACTAACGTTAACGTTGTTAGTAGCAATGACACGCACAAACGAAGATGATTATAATGATGATGATACTCGTGTTCTTCGCTTGAAATATAACATTGGTCGAAATAAAGTGCTTTCTGTCTCCAAGCGCACGCTTACATTCGAAAAGAAAAGAGAGATAGAAATATTGTTTCCGTCACTATTTCTTCAGCATATATGCGTGCGTGCGTGCGTGCGTGTGTGCGTGTGTGCGTTTTTATATAATAAATTTGCACTTCAAACTTTATATTCTCCTTCTTCGCTTCATCATCATCATCATCATCATCTCTTCTTCTTCTTCATCTTCATCTTCTTCTTCATCTTCTTCGTCTTCTTATTACTACAACAACAGGAATCTGTTGTTGTCTTTTGAACGATGTCAGCCTGCGGTGTGATAAGCAACTAGCTCATCGGCATCCTCGTCTGAACACACGCATGCGTCTTCATTTCTTTTTGTGTTTCTCATGCATTGACATGAATATTCCTTGTTTTGCTTTTGCCATCTATCTTCTAGTTCAATCCATAGAGAAAAAAATAAATAAAACGGAAATTGAAACACTTCATCAAAAACAAAAACAAATGTTGCCCTTCACATTTTTCAATTATTTCCTTTATGATAAAAGATTAATGATGGTTACTCACATTTATGATCATAGTCATCTTAAGTTGATGCTCACTCGAGAGATTAAATCAATATATATTTTTGTTTCATGACAAAATTAAATTGTTATCAAGACAAGAAACCAGAAAAAATGTAATCATTACTCAAAAATAAATATAAAAATAAAATAATGTACTTTGAATGTTTTTTTTGCAAGCTAGTTCATATACGTCTGAAAATAACATTTATCTGGTATAATCGACATTAGATTATAGTAATACGCTTCCGATAAAAAAAAATTATTTTCATTATTATCTAAAAACATGAGAAATTTTCACAACAAACATTAAAGTAATCGTTGCGTTTTCTTTTCTAGTTGATTTCAAATGAAAGTTTTGACTTCTAGTCTATAAATACGCAAAAGATTTGTTTTCAAAGATCTCTGTAAAATTTTAGTTATCCATTTTATTGCTAAATGAGAAGAATTATGAATTAGTCGAGTACCCAATTGTAGCTCAAGAGTGATCCATTGAAAGGATGATTCTGTTGCAATATCATTAGCAAGTGTGATATGCTATAGATAGACACACTCAATAGTTGTGATCAATTTCAGTTGTTTGTCTATGAACTTTAAAGAAAACCTTTCTAATATGTAAATTATTAAACTTCTCAAGCATAGTACAGATTGACATTCAAGTCAATATCTAAAGCCTTGAAAGAAACTTCGAAAAAAAACATTTTGTTTTGAAATAAATAATAGTATTCTTTTTTTTATTAAAGTTTTCTCTCAAGAGATTGATTGACGAAAACAAACCAAGAAGAATTTGTGTTAATTAAACAACATAAATGACTGAATTAATAATAGCTGAAAAGTCAATTTGAATAGATTTTCTAGAAATTCTAAAATAATTAATAATGACGTAATCACTATGAGATTTCAATATAGAAAACAATGTCATTTTTCAAATAAAAAATATTAGTGATCAAAAATCGTCTAGATCGGTTTTTCATCTTATAGAGATACTATTGAACCATTTTGTGAGGATAGATTATTATTATTAATCTTCTATATAATATGTTATCAAAGATGATATAAAATTTAGTAAAATCTTTTTCATGGGTAATTTATTTAATTAACAAAAATTTTAAAAAAATATTAGGATGACTATGAACATTAAATATGGAGAAAAACAAACAAATACTATATAGTTTTCATGACTTAAAACAAAAATTTTTCTTTTCCATTCATTTGTTGTGATACAACAAATAAATAAACAGTTCGCGTTTTTTGTATAAGATTAATTAAATATTGAATTAGACGTTCTTTTCCTCCAATTTGTATAGGTTTTCGAAGTGTTGAATCTAGATTATGATAAATTCCATTATGATTCTTAATTGTAAACCAATGAGTACCATTCAAATTAATCAACAAACCAAAATATGAATCCCATGGAAGATGATAAATTGATTCTCCATGATAGATATTTAACTGTCGAACATCAAAACCACACCGATTAATAGCTTCGATTAATACTCTTAAATCATAATTTCCTAACCATAATGTTCGATAATCATTAAAAAAATTTCTTTTATCAAAATCACGTACAATCATTTCTAAATGATGAGATGTAAATAATTTGGGGATTTGAAAAAGATTATTTAATGAATGAAGACCACATTTCATCAGACGTTGTTTTTCATGATAAATAGGCTACAGAAAGAGAAAAACAGATATTTATATGTTTTGCTTTTTTGGACATTTTAATAAAATTTTAACTGTATCTTTAATGAATTCTTGTGATGATTTGTGTTGCTGTTGATGTTGATGTTGCTGTTGCTGTTGTTGTTGCTGTTGTTGTTGTCTTGTCCATTCATCAGCATCACCATATAAATGTAATAACTCAGCATAATGACGATCACTATCCACATTCTGTTGTTGAGTACAATCATCATTAGAATAAAATGTACCTAAACCTTGATTGAATTAAATTATCTTAGAAACAAAATATTTTTGTTTTTTTTCTATTATCTTACTGGAATTTTCGTCAGAATTGTGTTTCAATTTAATTCCATCATAATAATCATTGATAATATTCTATAAACAAAGTATAAAACACTTATAGTCAAAATAAAACAAAATAATCGTCTAATTTACGTCAAGTTTCCAATTGTATAAATCAAGAAAATGAATAGCATCATCAATATTTAATCCTGTTATTGCCTAAGAAAATAGTAAAAACAAAAAACTTATAATTTAAACTAAAATTAATGTACTTGAAATTCATTGAGAATATGTTCATGTTTTAGAGGTTGTGATATATATGAAAACGATGATGCCATTTTTGTTTTTGTAAAATATGCATACGTCTGCAAGAAAACAGACGCTTATTGTGACAGAAAAAGGAAGAAATACAAGATGAAGTAAGTAAAAAGTAAAAGAAAAACAATGACTCATGTCTTTTTTTTCTTTTCTGTTGCATAGCGATTCTGTTGACGATCTATGATTGTATTGTATCATTTGGCACTGACGTATTGGTTAGAGATAATAAAATTGACCTACTTAATGTAAATAGATTTCATTAAAATACCCAGATGTTTCCTATTAAATTTTATTTATCTAATTACTAAAACTCAAAATGTGCATTCAAGACATACTCGAAAATGAAACCAGAAAATATGCAATTATATGTAAAAAGACCACATGTTCTATTCACATCGTAGATTTGGCTACTAGAATTGTTGCACTATTGACTCAAAGGATTTGTTAATTTTACTAGTTTTTCTAATGTCTATGAGAATAGATTGATAATATCCTATATTTATACAAGTAGTTTAACGGAAATTCTAATTTAAATAAACGAGGTAATAAAAACATGTTTATTGAATATTCGATATATTTTTTGCATCTATTACATTCATTAATTATTCTACTAATTTTTATACATGATGAATTACTGTATTCATAATATATATATATATATATACATAGGAAAACAGATTTGATTATTGTAGAAAACGCAGATATAGAAGCAGACTCCATTTGTCCCCAGCTAAAATGAAGAGTTGAATTTTTAGTATACGCCTCCATACGATAAACTACTATTCAGATTTATTTTCCCTATATTTCTCAACCATCACATAGCCACAATAAGGCCAAACGTATATTTATTGATTTCTAAGGATAAGCTAATTTTTCTAATCTACTAAACTCTTTCATCGGTTCATGTCTCGTACATAGAAACTGTTGTTCAATAGCACGACATTCCTTGATTTCTAATTTTTCTTAAAGCCCTTTTCTTCTCCATATACCAGAGAGAAGATTTTTTAATTCTTGATTAGATCTATTCGTAAACATGTACTAATAGAAGAAAAAGTTTCGACATTTTAAATGGTATTGCTCTGTTGCATTCAGTCGAGCATTCTCATTAAGCATGCACTATGTCTTACTTTTTCATTTTTTTGGCTACCATTGAATGACAATCATTGAAAGTCACTTTATTCTAGATAATAAACTTCGTTTCTGACAGTATTTCAGATTGATTGAATAATTGTTCATTTCGAAAATTTGACGAGCGAAAATATCTTGAAGTAATTATTTTCTTTTTGATTCTTCACAAAGATGCAAGTGATGAATAAAATAGATTTATTACGAAATGATCATCATTCAATTAGTTTCTGTATCACCAAATTATTCAAGACTTGAATAAATTGAAATATCACTGTGTGCGTATGGCAATTTCATGCTCAGGAAAAGTTTAAAGCATCAAATTGAAAACGATTATTTTGTTCCCAACAATTAATAAAATTTGAAGTTAAAACTCCGACGGATTAAAACAATCGTATTTAATTCGATTTTTAACAAAAGAATCAGAGATTTTATTCTGATTTGTAATACGTTTTACGTGTTATTTATGGAATCTTCGTCAAGAAATATGCTCATCTCTCATTCATACGAGCACTGAAAACCTTTACTAAACTCTTCTGTTCTGATTGGCACATGTCTTGATTAATTTTAATGATCAACTGTATTTTGTTTTGATGATAACGGTATATTTTCTCAGCGCTTTGCCATTTTTGGGTTCCGATCGGTTACTTCGTTAAAGAGAGAAAATAAAACAATATCGAAGAGAATAGGAGATCAATGTAACAACAGCTTCTGTAAAACTTAGTTTGTATACAAGAGAAGTGAGCAAATAGGTGAAAATAGTGAATCAGAAAATGCGCAGTCTTTAGGAATCAAATAAACACGCATTTTTTCTTTTTTTACACTAACGTAAGTAATGATCGAGAAGCGAATGGGGAATAGGGAATATATTCATTTTGCAATTCGTGCTATACAAAAGAAAAGAAAAATTCTGATATTAATCGTGATTATTATTTTCAATTTGTATAGCTTGTTGTTTCATATTAATAAATAAATAATTATGTGTTTTTCTGATATCTCCATCATGATGATAGATGGCAATGCGCATTTACTAGTGATGAGGATGCTAGCGTTCGAACTAGTCATAGTATTCTATGTTGAAATAAAGTATATCATACAATGCTTTTATTTCTTACGGTCGCAAAACTCCCAGTCTATATCTAGTATGAAAACTATTTCATTGACAGATACCTTCAATTGTACAATCATTAGTATTTAAAAATCTTTCAGAAAAACAAATTTAGAAAAATATATTCGAATTCAAATTGATATTACTTTTTTTGAGTGTCCTATTCGTAGGATACATGATTTCAATAACGTTTAGGTGAACAACAGAGATCTGACTGCATTGGTAATTATGGGCAATATAAGTACCCGATAAGACAAATATAGTCCATGACTAGTTTGTCTATAATCATCCAACAGAATCATAATTTATTTATAAATAATAATGTTGAAAAACTTACTCACTAGAAAAATCTAGATAAGTAAATGAAACCGAATTTAATGTGTCTAATCCACAAAAATCAAAAAATCCTAACTTCACTTCAATCTAGCAAACTTTACTGTTTTGTTAAACTTCAACAGAGGAAAATGTCTTCTTTTGTATCGTGTTGATAACGAATTTCCTTACAAAAAAAAAAACAATGAGAACATTTTACTAAGACATACTATTAATATGTATAACAAGTTTACTCATCATGTACTGAGTGGCCAAGATCATTATTATTTGCCTAATATTTATTCACGCAGATACTTCTATAGTTAATATTTTGATATCATTCATTTTAAATATATTATGATCCATTGTAACTATATATAACAGCTTATGAGAACTTACTGAACTATTTCGAGCATAATAAACAGTTAAAAAAATACTGAGAATAATAATTCTTCTCACATTTCATCTTCAATACCTAACAAACATATCGATAACTTCTGAAGAAAAAAATGAAAGCATTTATGTTTTTATTAGTAATATTATTAACACCAGTGTCAAACATTTAAATTATAATATCATGTTATAGATGATGATAGTTACAAAGTTTTGTATGCAACGATATATTTTAGTATTACGGAACTAAGAAAAACATTTACCACTGAGAATTTGTTCACAGAGAATTATATCATACAAATATTACTTGAACTACGATACATGAATATACGTATATGATATCATTTTAAGCACAGTGGCAGCATTAATAGTTTAATTTTGAGAAAATCTGACATTACTTGTAAATAATAATAATAAAATAAGACTTTCGCTATTAGGATATTTGATAACACTATCAAACAACACTAAGTCTAAATTGTAAGTTTGATTGTGAAAGAAAAATATAATAGATTAAGTTGCGTTATTAACATTTTAATGTTCTCGAATAGTGATATGAATTGTTGACGAGTAGCCAATTAGTTATATGTTTAGAAAATATTGAATTATGTCCATATGTTACCGCACTATTTATATGTTTACAGTTTTCTGCTAGATTAGCAACGTGAATTTTTGATCATGAATTGAAAATATATACTTGATTTCACATTAACTCTTCTCGAATAAATCAAAAAGTACTTTGCATGCATTTAAGCATGATTGAAAGAGTCAATTCAATAGTATTGATAACTTTCTAAAAGATAGTCTAATTTATATATGATGTAATTATAAATAAAAAATATAAACTAATACAATCAAGTGCATCGCAAATACTGAGTAAGTCTGAAATACAACCATAAAATTCATAAATTTGAAAATATAATTATGATAGAAAATTCACTTTTTCAAGATATCGTTCATTAATCTTACAGATCTTTTTCCTTTTTAAACATAGCCATAGTATACGAAATCTATTATATCAATTTCACATATTACACATCCATGCAATCCTTATAAACTTGTTTTTCTATACAAACCTATTGATTGAATCATATGTTTTCATTTAATTGTTAATACCGAATTTGCTTCAAGACTATCAATATTTTTATTTCATTAGTATATAGTTTGGTTAGCATCTTTTATTGCAATTGTTTTCGATAAACATAATTCCTTCGATAAGAACACTTAATGTATGCAACAATCCAAGAGATCATAGCTATCTTCTATACTATAAATTATTGATAGGCAGCCATTCTATTAATGACAGAATGGTCATACTCAAATATTCTACCAGTAGAAGTTGTACTTTGTATGCAGATGCTCAATACAAATAAAGATATAGTAAGACTTCAAAATTTTCTCGCAATCATTGTACTGCAAAAGTTCATCTTGTACATCTATAACTTTAATTTGAAAACAATACAAATACAATATGATCTTCAAAATTGACACTACTGATATGACTGCGAATGGAGTAGACATTCAAAAAAAGAAATTTTTCAGAGGACAAAAAGATGCATAAACTAGATTCGAAATGAACAAAAGCTAAATTAAAACCAAAACAGAAATGAAACTTTTGTTTTTTATGTTAAATATTGAGATTGATTATCAATCAAAGATGTTGTTGTTTTACGTTTTTTATATGGTGCTGATCGAAGAAAATCGTCACACATTTGGGCATGAATTAAATCTGAATTCGGATTTAAACAGAGTAGTAATTGACGATGAAATAGTTGTTGATTTCTTATTAACCTATCTAATTTTACTTGTGTTATATCAGATAGTTCTTCTTTTATATTTTCTAATTCTTTTCTTAAAGCATTTATTTCTTTGTCTTTTATTTGTTTATATTCTTCAAATTGTTTTTCAAGATATTTATATTTAATTTTTAAACTTTTCTCTTCATTTTTGAGTAGCTAAGTAAAGAACATAGTCAAGTTCAATAAATATAATATCAAACAGGAAAAAAGTTTACTTACGCTTCGATCAGGCTGTTGATTAACAATCTCAGGATCTTGTTGTTCATTTGGAATGAATTTAGTAACGAATATTTCTTTACCTTCGATGTAATGCGGTCGAGTAAGTAGAATTTTGTCAACATCATCATAATCCTATAAACATGATAATCATTTTCAAAGTTTATTAATACTATCCAATATTTACATCATTACCTTGTAATCGATCAAACCCTTTTCATAATGAAATTTTTTTATTGAACCTAATTTATTGAAATAATTTCGAAGACTTTCTTTGTCATAATTAGTTGATTTCGATAATAATAATCGATTAGTCACAACTAGTCGTTCAGGGATTGACGCTGTCAATCGTGGTAATGCTCGTTTAACAAATATTTCTTCATCGTTAATTAGATGAGGTCGTGCAGACATAAATTGTGTTATAGAACATGACGATTGAAATGTAATAAAAGCAAAGCAATGATAAATCTAAATCATGAATTTTCTCATAGAAGATTATATTATACAAAGGTTTTGCATACATTATTATCTTTATCTCGATTCAGTGTAAGATCAATAATGGTACCATATTTTTCACAATATGTTCTTAATGTTTCTAATGTTACAGTACATAAATTTCCGAGGAATAATTGACGGCTAAGATAAATTACTCAGAAAAAAAACATGTTATTTTTATTGAAATATTTCACTTACTCGCCCATTATTTTACTAGCCAACTAAAGAAGAAGAATAAGAAGGAAAATCTTCAATTATATTGGATGCAACGAGAATTCATTATTATAAATGTTTAAAAATACCCGGAAAAATACATACAGAAAGAAATAAAAGGATGTCTATCTTGATAATCGTTTGAATAGAGGATAATATATATATATATATATATACAACTAATCTTGGTTCAAGGCGACATCTAATTCTGATTTATACATTTATATTATCTTAATCTTAGAGATATTTATATGAATTCTTGAAGAATTCTGCTCTTTTGAAAAATTGGAATAGATAAAAACATGTTTATATACGATCGATATTATCTGTTCCAGTAAAATCATTTGAAAAGACACAAAAGTAATCACAGATCAATAATTTATTTTACGCGCGCTTCTCTGAGACATAAGTGATTATCTGCTTTTCACTGATACTCGATATGAATATTATTTGTTCGAATTCATATTAAATTGCTTATATTTATCTGAAAAAAGTTGAGTAAGAAGTATTCTCAAGATCTTTGAATACAGACTATATTGTAATACAATAATTGAAATTTCAATAGAATAGTTGAATTAGATCCAGACGTTCATAAACACGAACGTTTATCAAATTTATCTAGTGACATCAATGCTTTCTTGATATTGTAGTATGAGTACCGATATCAAACTGCAGTTAGAATACTTATTTCGTTACTATATCCAATAACACTGTTCGGAAACTTTTAGTTCTCTTTGACATTTTCATTTAGAACTTGCAAATACGCGTTTACCAACCTTGAAGCTGTCTTAGTTACTCTAGGAACTAGTGATATAGTCTAGAACCTACTGCGGCGAGTGTAAACGAAGAAGAAGAAGAAGAAGAAGAAGAGACAAATAAACTGTGCTTCTCTTCTACCAAGCGATAATTGGAACAAAACTTAGAATCTATGTTGTCTTACGGAGAAACGACAAAACCTAGTATCAAATTCATCGTGAATTCTTCATATAAAATCAGAAATTATGTTTCAAAAAAGAAATCAGAAACTGTTATAAATAAATAGATACCAGTTCGCGTTAGTTTCTCATTTTCTATAGAAGGTATCAATATTTAATTGATAGTTAATATCGACTAATAAATTAATCTGAACATTCTTTCATTCATTGGTCTATTACAATACATTTTACGAAGTAAACTCGTTATGGCAGAGCATGAGTAGCATTCAGAAAATATTTTTCAAATCTTAATCACTATTATTCTTCTTGATCCTTTTCAGCTAGTAAGAATAGTTGCGGAATTTGCCATCGATCTCGAAAATCAAAGCAAGCTGTCGAAAACACTAAACAGCTTCAAATTAGCATTACACGTTCTACTTAAACATTGATATTCAAAATATTCAAATATGTTACAATCATTTATAGTACTTCATTAAACTATTATAATCTGAATAAAATAAATTCGTTCAAGCGAAAGGTAGTGCCAAAATCGATACCATTATTTAATAGATGTCATCACTTTCTGTTTACTTTCTTCTCAACTATTTTCTTCCCCATGAAGTTTGTTTCACTCGATATTTTCTAAATAAATTTCAACTAGATATGAAACAATCAGATTCTAGAGCTACACAGTAAGTCAATACGTATTATTAACGCAATTAACGCTAAAGTTACTCTCGTTCCTTGTTACTACAAAACGAATACTTAGACTTTATTCTACTATCGTTTAATTTATTAATTTTCTCACGAATAAATTTCTAGATCATACTGTTATCAAAGGCACATTATGCTAGCACAAACTCTAAAAGATTAATAATCATATGTATTGAACTACAACTTTAAATATTTTGTCGATTTTAACTTTTAAACGTTATTATTGCTCATAATTCTTGAATTTCTCATCTCTTTTAGATGCCACGTCGTCGATCTCAGCGTTGATAAAACCAACCGTAAGATGTAGATATCCATCAGATATCAAAAACTATGGTTGTTATAAAAAAGCCAGATGTTGCTTTTACCGTAGAAACGTTTATTGATTTGTTCGCATAATAAACAATGGAATGCTGTGTGTTTTCCTCCTGCTATCTCAGAGAGTATCCTCTGACTGTGTTCAGTAGATGCGCAATCGAAAATAGCCTATAAATATTTGAAATGAACAAAAATAAATGTAAACTAGCATTGAAAATCGCTCAAAACTTCTTTTTTTCTAGAAAAGGGTTCCAAAAATCTGGTTTTTAAAACCCATCATATTACTCTAACTAATTAATATAATAGAACATATGTGTGTTTCTCATTAGCAACCGTTTATAAGTTTGTTGACCACTGCCACATTCCTGTAACTAAGGAAAATTTCTTAAAAAACCATATATTTATACTACTGCTTTCAGAAAAACGCTATTTTCACTGCCAAAAACCATTCAAAATGGGACAAATCGCACATAATCTGAAAGAGGACACTAGGTTCTCAGTATATATGCTTATCTCAAAATTAATTTTCTGAGGGGGAGTCCCCCCCCCCTTAATTGAACTAGTTCAACTAAGTTAGACTTTAGCTAATTATAGTATGTGTATACTTTGATAATTAATCTATTTTTCAATTATTTTTCTTTTGAAACTATTCGATGAGACAAATGAATTAAAAATTCAAATTTTTCAAGAAGAATTTATCAGAGGAAAACCCTAGTGGACCGTATAAATAATATTTCAGATCTTCTTATCAACAAAAAGTGAGAGAAACATATGATTAACAAGTTAATCTTATGTATTTAAACTCTTCCTAAAAAATGATTTACTTCGTCACACTTTATACTTATTGACTCAGATCGTTTACAATTACGATGCATCTATGATTAATTCTTCGAATCATCAAAACTCCTTTCATTGAATAATATTATCTTATTATTTGGAAAAAATTTAACAAAATATTGAAAAAGTCTGATTGTAAGAGAAATGAAAAGTTAATAAGAACAAATCTGGTTAAAAGACACTTTCAAAACAATAGATTTAAATTGATAAATAATCGAGATTCTTGATTCATGAATTTGTCTAGTCTAGTGAATTTACTCACAAATCACTAATAGATGAAAATTTTTGATTTATCTCAAAAAGATGACTTTAATGATAATGCACTAATGACATTGCTGAATTTGTTTTATTTTTTTCAGTGTGATTGACCCACAATTCAGTTTTCTTTTTATGCATTATGTTTGACCCCGAATGACAGTATAAATTTATGAAAGAGAACGTCACTTTTCGACTAACAAACACCCAGGTCAATGATTCCGGAGGACGGATACGGTAGGAACCGGCCGGAAAGCTGCGGAAAAATCGCTGTATNGTAGATTCCGGCTGGAAGTTGACCGGAATCCACAGAAAAAAACGTCTGGTAATTTCCGACCGGAATACTGCTTCCACTTTCCAACGCTTTCCCGTGCTTTCTGGTCGTTTCCCGCCGTGCCTCCACGACCTGGGCAAGACTGATGATATTCACGCTTCATCTTTTTCAATGAGGTCATTCATACTTTTATCCAATCATGGAAATGTTTAGAAAAAATAATGCGAACATACATGCATATAGACAGATACGTTCTCAGTCAGAAGCATACCTTATAATCACAATCAAACATGCTTCGATCTAATGTTCACCTTCTCGATCTACCTAATGAAATTTTACTTCTTATTTTGAAAAAACTTGATAATATTGATGTGCTTTGTTCATTATCGGATATTAATAATGAAAGACTTGACGTTTTGGCGCAACAGAAGATTTTTACAAACATTCTGAATTTTGTACCTGCATTAACTGATGATGTTTATTTAATTCCTGCTTCAATACTTGATCGTTTTTGCTGCGATATATTGCCAAGAGTTCATTATAATGTCAAATGTCTCATACTTGACTCAGTACATATAACACGAATTCTTCTCGCTGCTGATTATCCTTGTCTCGGTCAACTAAAACTCTTCAATTTTAACCAAGATATTGCCTTAAGCTATTTTACAGGAAAATGATTCATCTATGGAACTGATCAAGAATTAAAAAGCAAAAGTGCTGAAAAACAGTTACACTATTTGTGTTTTTATTTAGATCAATCATCTTTTTAACATATTTTTCGGCAACAAATTACAGATCTTAGTCTTATATATATAATGAAGATACTAGCAAAACATCAGTGAAAAGTTACGCTAAAAATATCTATAGACATATTTTGACTTTATTCAAAAATTTAACGCATTGGAGTATTATTAAATTGGCAGGAGGTCAATATGAATGTCAACCTTTGTCACTTTCTAACTTGTCATTATCTAGTTTTTCTTCTTCAACTCTTACTAATTTATCTATTAGTCTGAATTCAATAGAAGATTGTCTTTCTCTGCTTGATGGTCGTCTCAAACAATTATCAACATTAATTATTATCGTTTATGGGACTCAGAATCATTCAATGCTTGATCAAAATATGGTAAACTTACATGCTATTTTATAAACCATTTTGAAATAAATTGAAAAAACCTATTTATTAATCATTTCTCAATATCTTGAGGGTTTTCTCAGAATATAATATGTATCAGGGAAAGAAGTTGGCGCATTTTCCATGGGTTATATCCCCACGAATTTTTTTTTTCATTTAGTTATTTTTGATTGAGGATTGTGTGAAGAGATGAGATCACTAAATGAGACGTTGAACTTTTTTGACATTAGCAAAAAAAAATTAATACTTTATAGGGAGGAGGAGCCATTTCCGCAGAAAATAGGTAGTATTTCCAGATTTTGACTATCAAAAGCCGATTTTTATGAAAAATAAACGTCATCTAAGGAATCAGCATGAAAAAATACACCAGAAACTCTATTTTTCATCGTAAAATTTTAACCCTGACGGAGGAGTACAGGTTAAAGTTTTACGAATACAAGGATGACGGGAAGTAGGGCGAAAAATTCTTTTGATAGTCAAAATCTGGAAATACTACCTTTTTTTTGGGTATTTTCTATGAAAATGACTTCTCCTCCCTATAAAGTATTGACTTTTTTGCTAATATCAAAAAAGTTCAACGTCTCATTTAGTGATCTCATATCCTCACACGATCTTCAATCAAAAACTAGACAAACGAAAATAAACTCAGCGGGGGGGGGGGGCAGGAGGTGGTATGCGCGCCAATTCCTTTAAACACCCGTTTTTTTTCGAAGAATTTTCGGCTATAAAATAT